CATGAACATATAGGAGCATGACTTTTGCCACATCGCAACTAATTTGGAAGCCTATCATTGTCCGTTATGCAACTCACGCAGTTGTGATGTGGAAACTTGAAACCTCCAGTGCACATGCACTGAGAGTAGTCATTATTAAAAGCAGAGTATTTTGTATATGTCTTAAAAAATGTCTGGAGGGGATCTTTAGACTAACAAACAGTAATGCATTCTATATCAAACTAAATGGCAAAAAAGCAAGATGCACAATATATGTTTGTTCCTTTGTTTGTTGTAATTTACAACTCATTTTCAGATGAGCAGAATATTAAGGGAGGACTAGATGCATTTATTGTTTCATCTGATTAAACCGGCTGTATGCATTTGTTATTATAAATCCATAAAGTCAGGGGATTTGTTTTAATCTTACTCACCTGCCACTGGGTCAGTCAGTAGAAGTCAAGCATTTTAAATTGTAATGGAGATCCCAAAGGGATCCAAGGGATTCCAAGGATATATCAGGCTAAATTTGGCAAAGATTTGTGTAAATCGGCATATTTAGTGCACAGACTTGAGATTGGTATCCATCTTCTCCTCTCAGAAATAAAGAAAATATCTGTATTTCCCCAAAATACATCTAACTATTCCTTTTTTAAGCGCAATAATGCAACTTACTTTTGACTTATGGTGTACTAAGAATGTCAGCTGATATCGTGACATCTTAAAATATTATTCATGGACATTGTTACATCATTAGTCAATGTTATTATATCGCTAGCTAAAATATCCATCATCATATGGAGTAATAATCACCAGCTAATTTGTGTTGTTATTGTCGCACATTTTTATTTTCTCAGGCTGTCATCTTCTATGTTCAATTCAATTAGGAAGAAATTACATCACAGTGAGTATTAGCTGCTTATTACTTCCAATTCTGTGTTATGTATTTTGAAAATCTTCCAAGCCAGCTGTGGTTTAACATGCTTGATTTGACAGGTGGGGCTGTGTAATTTACATTCAGAGCAGTAACAGCATTCTCTCTACCTGTTCTTGTGTCAGGCCTCTGTAGCGGATCCCCCCATCCCTGGGAGGCCGGATGATAGCGCAGCCTGAAAAAAACAAAAGAAAGACGAAGAACAATCAAGGACAAGAAGAGCAGAGAGGGAGAGCTCTTTCTCCAGATAATGTAGAAACATTACAGCAACTCAACATACTGTCAATTTAACTGATGCCTTCCTCCCTGCAAAACTTACAGCGCTTCATTGAGGTCACTTAACAATCTGCGGAGTTACTTCTGTCCACACATACAGATTCACACACATATTCAGTCACAAACACACACAAATTACCTCCAGTTGATGAATTATGTATGGGCACAACGAGAGATGGAAGAGCACAGAGAATAATCAGGAACAATAGTCGAGCCATCTCTGGATCTGAAAGAGAAGGAAGAGAGAGGGTTTTTAAAAGTATGTCGAGGAAATTGAGGTTTTTTCGAAGAAAGACAGAGGAGGAATCGGGAGACAAAGAGAAAAGGGTTACTGAGAAAAACACTCTTATATTAATGCAACACTCTCAGTCGGTCCACTCCTGACTGTCCTTCTGAAAAAGGGATGCATCAACTCTTTGGCACAAACGCTCCCTTTTCAACCTGCCTGACTGTGCACAGAGAGGACGAGCTGCAAGATGAGTCCACTTTTCTCTCCCTGCCTCAGTTTGTATTTACAGTGCAGACAGGCAGTTGATAGCCAGCTTGGCTTCCTTTCAAAAGCCAAGTATACAAAGCTTCATCTCAGGTTTTGATGGTACAGATTTTTGCAAAGCGGCTGCCCACAGAAACATTTCACGCCAAGGCGAACTCAATGGATTTCTGAGTTTTCTTCAGTTCAGGGTCGAAAAGTATCTGGAACAGCTTGCAGACTGTAGAAAAGGTGCTGTTATGTGTGTTGACAGAATTTAAAGGCACAACGACCCACCACACCCAGGCACTCCTATATGCCAACACTGTCCGACTTACAATGGACAGTTTAAAAAAAATTTTGATGGGTTGATGCAGCAGAACCACTGATTTTTTTAATTCCAAGCATTCCTCTTCCTTGTCAAAACATTGGGCCTACATTACCCACAGTGCAACTTCACTGTTGACATCACTTGAGGTAATTTATCTTCTTCACACAGCTCAAAAGGCATTATGCAGTTTTTTGTACATATGCAGTAGTGCTCCCCAAGATCTGTAAACAGACTTTGATTGTAAAATCAGAGGAACTCCTCTGATTTTACAATCAAATCAACAAACAGTATCAGTAAAATCAACAAATAACAAAGTGAACATATCCTCCCAACGAAAACCAAACTCAATGACTCTGTTTGCTTTACAAAGATGGCTAAATGGCAGGCCACTTGGTCACCACACTTGCTGCCTGACGTGCAGATTTCACGAGTACAGAATGAGTGTGATACGCTAACTAGCAAAAAGTCAAAAGACCCTCGAGTCCCGTGAGCCACAGCGCCTGGAGCGCTGGTTGGCAGGGGAACACACACGGCACAACTGTATCAATGATAAACACTATAGCTGCTCATTTTGCAGCTTTGAATAATAACTGTTGCTTTATGAGCAAACATATAAACACATCCATGCACTCTCACACTCAACAAGGCAGCAAGAGGGTGGAGGGTGTGTGTGTGGTGAAGTGTGTGTGTGGTGAAAAGTGTGTGTGTGGGTAGGGGGGCATAGCAAAGCACCACAGTGAGGGAGACAGATGGCAGCAAGGCTTGCATGTGGAAGACAGACAAACTCTGCTGGATACTTCATTAGCATTATCCAGTGTATTTTTAGAGTTCACTGACAAGACGCATGCAGGAGGTAGACACCACCGGAGAGTGTGTATTATTCGTGTGTGTGTGTGTGTGTGTGTGTGTTGGCAGTTTACAGTGTGGGCTTTTGTCCTGTGAGGGTTTGACGGGAGGCAGTAAAGAGAAAAGGGGGGGAGGAGTGGGGTGGAAGGACAGCCCAGCATGGAGTCATTAATATCAGCGATCACACACTGAGCCGGATAAAAGCAAACTATGCGAGTGAGTGTAGCACGGATGAAGCAGCCTATCCAGCATAAAGCCAGCTAACTCCAACGGCGACGTGGCTGCAGCGGGACTGAGCAGACGGGGAGGGGGGGAGGGGGGGGGCAGTCGACGAGCCTCAAGCTTTAAATGCAATTAAGACTTCAGCACCACGGACAGCGCCTTCACTGCTCCAAAACACTGCAGCCCCGCGAAACACCGCGTTGCAACAAAAAAACACCTACAGCCCATCATCCACATCCAGCTCTAATGTTGCACAGGCACTGCCTACTTCCGTGTGTGTTTATAATGCCGGAAGCTGCAATGGAACAGGGACGATCCGGTCCATTTCAGCACCAAAGACAGATTCATGCAGAGAAGCAGTTTTCTTTTTTTATAAGCTCTGAGCAGATCCACACGGAGTACACACGCACATACTCGTGATGCTGTGTTTTGTGCGTGGCTGAGCATGAACTATTGAGACGTGAGGGTCACAGTAAGGGTGCCACCAACCGTATGCTGCCGGTATAGTTACTTGTCGGCTGTTGACAAGGGAATCCGTGATGGCCTGTAGAGGAAGGCCGACCATACTAACAAGCCCGTGCAGTCCTCATAGGAGTGGATCTCAAAAGTAGCGTCTTGAATAAATGATCGTGTCTTTAAACCGGCTGTAGCTACGTTTGTTACAAAAATTAAAAATTTAAAAAGGTGCAAAAATCTCCACCTGTCATCCTCTCCTCTTAGAGCACCAAAACGTTAACGCAGAGAGGATTCTTGCGAGAAGGTACTCAAAACAAATCTGGCCTGTGAACCGTCGAAAAAACAATTACCTTTGCATGCAAATTGAAGACCGACTATGACATCTGTCTAGATCATCCTGCATGGCAAATGGGGCATTTTCTGAATACACGTAGTCTCATATTGCGACCTACAGTAATAGTAGCATCTATCTAGCCGCCTGAAGCGAAGCCGTAGCATGTGTACTTACTATTAGTTTCGATGCGCTCAGTCAAGGTAGCAGTGCGTCCTCCGGGGTGGATCCGCCAGGGAAAGCCCAATTTCGGATTATTTGGTAAAAAGATGCATCTCTACAACGATAATTATGGCTATATTAGTATGGCTATTAATGTGCAAGCTGCTCCGTTCGTAAACAGAACGTTACAAAAACAAAACCGTATCTCATCCCGGGTTTATCTTTCTTCATGTATTGCAGTTACGCATGGCAAAAAGTAAGAAACGAGAAAAATCCATACAAAACAAAATACATGCACTATATACAAACGCATCCCCATAAAACGACGAAACACCGATTCACCACACTCCCCTCCCTCCTTTTTATTTTTCTCTCTCCCCCTACAATCTTGAGCTAATACACGACGTCATGATGGAGACGCACCGTGCGTAACAGTCCCTCTCTTCCCAAGATGAAACGCGCTAAGGTCTGGGCCCACGACAGTGCAATATCAGAATGAATCTTACAGAGGGGGCTTTGGGTTATGATAAGCTTGTGGATTCATCCCACCGTTAATAATCATATCACGGCAGGAGGACTAGACATGGATGGAGGTGCAGATATGGCGCTGTGGTATTAACACTCACTACATTGTTAAGCCTTTTGTTTTGCTCCAAAGCTCTTTGGAGTTAAGTCGACGAAGCAGCAGTCATTTCTACGACACTGGTCATCTATGAAATCAAAGCCCGTCGCCTCTTTCGTTCCCCCCACATTTGTCTTTCCCACCATCCTCTGCTCCTCTTCTGCCATCTATTCTGAGATCCCGCTTCATATTTATATTTCTGCTGAATAATTGAAGGAAGGCTGGGGAAGACGTAACCTCTCCCTGTCTCTTACCATCCCTCTTCCTGCATCAAACAGGAACTCACATCCTAACCTGCCGCTCCGCATGTAATTCTACAATAAGCCCGACAAGAGATCAGTTAAATAGGACAATATGAGAACCTCGCAAGCCCAAGAAGTATGATTTGGTTTATTGATTATAGATATGACAATGCATAAATTGGAAAGTGACATTCTGACTAAATCACAAATGCCATTAATAGGGTGAAGACTAATTGTTAAGACAGAAGTGAAGGTGAGGTTTTCTCAGATTAACTGCAACGATGATTTAAATACACATGACAAACTGTGAGCATCCAGAAAACATATGTACAACCAACATTCACGTCCATTAACACATGTAGCTGTACATGTCAATATTTTCCAGCTTTGTAATAATTACATACATTTACAAGTCATTTCTTGACTTCGTCGTTTCGCGTCTCACACTCAGAAAATCAAAGTACAATATCATAAAAAGAAAATACAGAAATCAGACCTCTTCAAGGATTCGGCGCCTGGGTGACTTAGATTATTAGTGTTCCAAAAATCATAAAAAGGGCGCAGACACACAAATGAATGAAATGGTTCTAAACACAACTACAGATGAGATTACAGCAAAGTGCCACTCATGCTAAATGTGTTGCTTGTTCTGTATCAAGGCACACTTCAAATCACAACACGGGCAAACTGTTTTTAAAAAGGCAAACAAAAGAGGAAATGCATTTGCTGCCAAAGAAATCCACTTGTACACATGTAAACAATATCCGAATAACACAAAGTTGGGGAAAGGTTTTTGCGCCATACGACATTAAAAAGAAAACATGGCTGCAGCTTCATCATCTTAGCTTTAATGGTTTCAGTTTTACTTTCAGCATAGAGCCCTGAATACATGTCATAAGTGTCTGTTTAGATAGGGAACAAGGAGCGCATGCTGTCTGAGTAGAAGGACTCATTATCATCTTCAGACTCCATTCATTTCAGGAACTTTCAATAAACGCATTGTCTCGTGCTAAAATTACCAAAACACTGCTTGCAGCATGTTACTGGAAATAAATATATGAAATGTGATTTCAAACATGCTTTCACCCTGCGCTGACAGAATCGCTTTTGTCATTTTTCCTTGCACACTAACTTGATGAGGGTGGATACGAGTGTCTATGAAGAGACCCTGCAAACCCCCCTACCTTGAAGCAATCGCTGATAAGACTCGACACGACTGGGAGGGGAAACAATGGAGGGTTTTGTTTTCACTAGTCTCACCACATTAGATCAACGTCGTCTTTTGATCATTCTTCACTGTTCCTTCATGCTCAAGGAACAAATTCTACCCAGAATCCCTCAATATACAGTATACTTGTCCTGGAGTTTTGAAAGCTCTTTAGCTTCCAGTAGTGTTGTAACCAGGCAGGAATATTAACTATTGATCAGTGTCAGCGTTAGAATAATGTATTGTCAGTCAACATACGTGTGCTTATTTACACCATAAACTCATATCGTACACCTACAACTGCAGCAATCCAGTTTTACAGCTATTCACTGACTTATACTTTGGTTGGTACCTATGTTTTCGGGATGCTTACCCTAATTGGTAGTTTATTTTCATAACTCACTTTGCTTCTGCAGTGTTTATAGCGTGTTTATATCTATGACAGCCTCACAAACTGAAGCTTCGGTGATGCTGCTTGTAGAACTGCTGCTGGCGCTCTTTGGTGGTTGCTTCAGCCAGCTTGTCTCTTCTATCCATCACTCCGCCTCTCTCTTTCTCGCCCTCATCCCCAGTTACGCTCCCGACATCGCTGAGGTTCCCGAGGTGCTCAATGGAGTCATATTTCTCCAAGTCGGAAGCGATGGTCTGCAGGCTGAAGACCGAAAGGGAATCCGACCCTGCCCGCTCCCTCTCCCTCTCCTTCTCCTTCTCATTCTCCTTGTATTTCTCCAGGTCGATGGATGTGTCCACCCGACCCGGCCCCGTCGCACCACCGCCGCAGGCTCCGCCTTCTTTCTGAACTCTGATGTCGGACTCGGCTCCAACGGGGGGGCTCCGCCCACCGCAGAGAGTGGTGCGCCCTCCCTCTGCCGGGCCCCTCCCCCTCTGAGCGTGAATCTGCTCACTGATTTTCTCCAGGTTTCGTAAGGCGATGGAGTAGCGGGTCTTCACTTTGGCTACGTGCTGTTCCAGCTGCAGCACTATGGCCTTGTTCTCCTGGAGTCACACAGAGGGCACAGCAACTTTCATCATCAATTTCAACATTGATTTTATGCCAAACAGGTGGATTACCTACCAGTGACCTGCAGCACATTTACAACACAACTAAACGACTGCATTTTTCTTGAGAGGATGGGAAACTGGGAGTGACAGAGTACAATGCACAGAGCATCTTACGGTTTCACAAACTCCTTGAGTCGGCATTACCTCCAGAATGTGGTTGAACTGGGCCTTGAGCTCGAAGTAGGGTTTGGATTTCACAATGACTCTTTTGAGGGACTTTTGCAGCATCTGAACCCGAGCCTCGGCCTCCTGACAGGCGTGTGTGACGCGCATGTGCTCCCTCTCACTGCGAAGTCGCTCCTCCTCGGCTTCGTTCACCTGCGAGGGACACGCAGGAGCAGGATGTTACCACCACCACACACACACACACACACACACACACACACACACACACACACACACACACACACCCGAAGCCTGTGTGTTCATGAGTACAAGACATCCATCCCTCTCTTTATTCAATTATTAACACCACGGAAGTTTGATCGTTATTTAACTTTCTGACAGTGGTATAGGGTACAACGATAAATCAGTGGATTATTCTTTAAACAAGACTCTACATTTAAAAATGCTCAATAAAAAACAAGGCATGGACTTACACTGATTAAGCCTCTTGTCGTATTCCTATGTCACTATCTACTAGGGGTGTAAATCAAGAGTCACCACAATTCATATCAACTCACAAAAAACATCTCACATATGATTAGACAATGTTATTAGTGGGCTCTGTGGGAAACGGATGCGTTTGGACTGAAATGGTGACACAGATGTGCCATGGGAATTTCAAAATAAAGGCGTATCTTAACGACGATAATGAGTATCAATGTTTCCACTTTCCACTGATGACTTTGGATAGTTGATCATGGATTCGATTTAAAGATCCAGATCAATGTATCGTTACACCCTTACTATCCACCGTGTTTTAGATGATTTTTTTGTTCTCTGTTCTTTCCAGGAAGTGTTTATCTTCTGAGACACCAGAACCATCCTGTACCTACTGTACATGCGTCTGTGTGTGTATAGCAAGTGTCCCTCCTCCTCTTTGTTACCTTGGAGGTAGCATGGTTGAGCATCTCCTGCCAGGTGGGATCCAGGGTGTTCTTGCCATCAGCCATCAGACCCTGCTCTGCCACATAGACCATCTCCCTGGCAGCTGTGTGCATAGAGACTGCTCTCTCATAGCTCAAAGCTGCCTTCTGGGTCTCCTGTTGTGCCTATAGAGAGCAGACTAAACGTTTACAGCCTGCATAAGTGGAATAAGACAAGGACACCACACCCTGCTCTGTAAGACGAATAACAAGCCAAACTGTATTTGTAAATCAAAGTTTTTGATTTAAAAGTTTAATAAAGGTAAGGCCAATAAATGTAGAAACAGGTAAGTAAATGAAAATAATCAATTGCCTTTTATATAAATGTATATATTTAACTGTTAATAAAGACCTTCACGCACATAGTGCTCCTGCAGGAACAAAACAAAAAGTATCCGGTATCCAGATTGTGTGCAGGGCTACATCCAATTAAGATAGACCGCAGCTCACACCTTGCACGAGAATGAATCTCACATACACAATGAATGACTGGCTGTGATCAGAGCTCTCTTTGATGCTCAGATTAACTTGTAGGAGTTGAAAACTGAAATTGCTGCAAAATAAAGAAGATGTGACCCTCAAAATCTTGTCTACATTGTCTGACGTAGGTAAAGAACAGTGTGTACAAATATATAAACAACTAGGAACACTCCTTCAGTGCAGTCAGGAATGCAGTAACACTACACTACGTATGTGGACAAATGCGCCCCTAACCACCTTCAAATGCTGTCTGAACGATCAGATCCCATTTTGACTACACTCCTGGATCTGACAGGGACTAAGTGCTCAGTCTAAGGACACTTCAGAAGGCCTTGTTTATACTGAGGTCAGCATTTTAAACACATGGGACACATTTAGGCAGAGCACACATATCATTTGTTGTGTACCTCTTTCGCAAGGCGACGAGCTTCATAGTAGGGTCTTGCTTTCTCAATGCAGCCACCGAGCTGAGAGCTCTGAGCGTTGAGCTTCCTGGCAGACTCTGTGAGGATCTTCCGGTAGCCTGTTCTGGCATCCTGGACGGTAAATGTATGAAAGATTAGATTTAACTGTAATGTAATGGGAGGCGAGTGGCTGCAAGTGAGCAAACGAGCCACTCGAGTGTGGAACTATCGGTACCAGGACATTTTTCCCTTTTAAGAGTTGTGACCTTTTCCAGACCTAATGCTTAGAGAAATTGAAAACAAAAATTATCATATTGATGAGCACAGTCTGGGAAAGCTAATAAAATATTCAACAACAGAGAGCGCAAGCAATTCCTAGGGTGTTAGTCAGTGTTCTTTTCACATTTCTCAGGAGTTTTGTTTTGTCAAAATCAAAGTGATTTTATGCAATCTGTTTTCCATATTCTTCAGTTATGTGTAGGAAGACTAAACAGAGTGTTTTGTTTTTTTTAAACTTACATCCAACTGCAGCTCCAGTCTGTTGATTTCTGCACTGGCTTCATTGAGATGCTCCAACTCTTCCTGTGGGGGGGGAAACTGCTTTAGGCCCTTATCAACAACTAGACAAACATACATTGTATAATCTTCTAACACACAGAGACTGAGTGAAATTAGCTTCAAATATCTCATGTATAATCATTACAGTTAAATGCAATAACGCTGGAGTGGTTTGAGTGCAACGGTAATGCACAGGCTGCACGAACTGGAGCTGGTGTGAAATGTACGTCGGCATGTCGGTGAATGATAATCACTTTTGATCTGACTATCGGATTAGAACGGATTATACATATATTAGACACATTACGTTGGCAACCTCTCAATTAAGCTTAACCCCAAATGATTGCAGTATTACCCAATCTAGACCCGTTAACATAACTACACCCTGGCTGATTAATGTGTCCATCTAACTTAATGGAGGTTAGAAGACCAGTAACAGTAGTTGTCATACCTGGATTCTGGGGTCCAGTTCCTCCTCGTAGGGGCTGTGTAATTGTTTATCACCTTCCTCGCAGGTGTCCCTGAGCGCCGTCTCTGGTGTTGTCCCATTAGTTTCGGCAGTTTTGACCTCCTCGTCCCCACCGGGAGTAACCTCCCTCCAGTCCCCCGCATCCGACTCCCCGGAGCCGGCGGGGCTCTCACGCAAGTCGCCTGGCTCCATTCCAGTGCCACACACAGTTTCGCTAGTAAGAGGCGTTAGCTGTAAAGGTTGCTTCTGCCAGCAGACGTGATGGCTAATTAAACCTAAAAAAAAAAAAAAAAAACGCGTCCTGCTAAAAGCTTGGTTGTGTTATTCAACAGGGATAAAGGAGGAAATACTTCCAGAGTAGGCGAGTGTTGTCGCGTTTGCAGCGTGCCATATCAAATCACATCGAAACACGAACCCACTGCACAGCTAGCCTAGCCTGCAGCCGTGTACGCTAACCGGCTAACGCCGCCATTAAACGGTTACTTTAACTACAGCAAACAGGTGAGAATAAATAGCTATTATTAACAGTAAAAGGCCCGTCAGTATGTCCCCCCCATCACATGTGTGTTTTCCTCCATCTCTTACCGGTTCCTCATTACTTTAGCTAGGCTAGCTAGCTAGCAGTTTCGGTCTCACATCATCATTGCAAATGAAGTAAACAGAGGCGCATCAGTTTGGAAACGGAAAGCGCCAACAGGTTTGGGCCACGGCGGCTACCGTAGACAGACATAACCCCAACCGTTATACTGCATGCGTGTACATCTAATTTATAAACTGCTGTGTGGCATCACTATCTTCATAGAAGTCTTTCATTATTACTAAACTATACTCTTCATTGTTATATCATTGATACACTAGAATATCCAAACCAATGGCTCCATCATTTAAGGATTCATCATTTAGTCACATGAAAATACCCTGAATGACTTGTGCATCAAGCATTTCCCCCAAACTTCAGTGTCACATATTTGGTATCTTTGTAAACTTTTGTAAACTTTGGGCATGTGTATATTTTGAATTTGCACTTTATGTAAATTTAGTTATATTTATGACAATAATAGGTCTCCTGTTTACATTGCTGGCATTGTGTACATTAGTTGAGCAAAAAAAAGCAAAATTGTGTATTTTTTTAATTCCAAAAATATACAAACAGGTAAAAAACCTGCAAGTTGTACTACATTGGAAAATCATTCAACTAAATTAATTTAGCAGGAAGAACCGATTTTCATAGAAGACAAACAATGAGAATCAAATGACGGATTATACTTCAGTTATGACCTGTCACCACCACCATAAACAACCATACCACAGATTATATTTTCATATCTGCACCAGACAAACATCAGAAATTTGCAAATAATTAACACAAAAGTGGCAAACTATGTAATTGCACTGAATGCATAAATGAATGTCATGTGCACAATTAGCAGAATATAAAAATAGATCTTGCAGCAGTCTTGTCTAACAGACGGTTTAGGCTGTAGGATAATGAAAAAGACCTGAGTAGCATTGGCAATAACCCCAACACCAGAAAGACAATCCATTCTGCATTATTAGAGAGAATATTCTAAAGTACATATCATTCAGTGAAAGACAGTCAGTCTTTGGTCAGGAATGCTTTTCCCCCACTGACATTCAGAGATATAGCACATAAACTTTCTTCTGGATTATCAGCTCTAGGTGGGATCATACTTGGTCCATCCTGGAGGAGGGGCCAAGTAGATTCTGCGTCCTCTTGAGATGAAACTGACAACCCCTCTGTATCCTGTCCTCGGGACTCCAGACTTCAAGTCCTCCATCACCCCCAGGTTTTTGGCCAGCACTTTGAAACTGTCCTTTCTTGTGTATTGAAGGCGGAAGGGCCCAGTTCCTTTCAGCTGTTTAACATCTTCATATGCAACCACGGGAGCACTGTAAACATCCTTCTCAAAATGTTCCCTGTACGTCTCCTCCTTCAAGTAACTCAGGTCTAACTTGGTGAAAGGCACAAATTCAGTGTTTAGTTTAATGTATCGCAGGTACCTGTCATAAAACTGACCCAGACTCACTCCTTTCCGGCCAAATGTCAAAGTTCGTGAGATCTCTGGCCGTATACAGGCGCGGTCGCGGCGCTGCTCCGGCTGACGCATCCAGTCGTCCCAGAATGAAGCGGGCCACTTGGGCTCCAGCTCCTCCCACAGCTCCCGGAGGAGCATCCACCCAAGACCAGGAAAGAAGTCTGTCCTGTAGAGCAGGTCAGCCTTGCCTGGATCCACGTACCCGTCCCGGCCATTGTCATTCCAGGCCGACACGCACCACAGGCTGGGGTCCGATTTCAGGAGTGGCAGCAAGGCTTGGAAGTACTCAAAGAAGTCTGGCGCCACCTAGAGTAGGAGATGAACAATTCAATTTCAGTTTACAGTGACCCCTGTTAACAAGTTAAATTAACTTAATTTCAAAGCTGTCAAATATGGAGCATATGCATTGTTTTTATATTGATGCAGGTTAAATACAACCTTGGGCTTCTGAATCTGATGTAACATTCAACATGAAAATGATTAAATGGAGCAATTTGATGTTTACCTCGAGGTCATCCTCCACAATCACAGCAGAGGAATGAGAGAGGGTCTTGAACACCTGGTTGAGAGCCCAGCGGTAATGCCTGGAGATTTTGTAGTAACCCTGAAACTTCTTGTGTTCTGGTCGCACCGCGACGTCCGACAAGTCCGGCTGCTTCAGGTGAATCACTTGATTTCCATAGGAACGGATCACCTCGGCAGTGTCGGCGTGCCCACAGTCCTGACTCACTACGATTGGGAAAAGCTCCGCAGAAGGACGGAGCTCCAGGAGTTTGTCCAAGCATCGCCTCACCGTGACCCTGTTACAGGCGATTACCAGGATGGGAATGACAGGCTGACCCGGGACGACAACCTTTGGACCGTTTCTGCTTGACGGCTCCCACAGCGACTGCTGGTTCTTGATCTGCAGCAGGATGTTTTTCTGCAGTTCAAGCTCTGCCTCGAACGTGTCGGCCATTCGGAGCACATCTCCCACCACATCATTAGTGGGCCTTTCGGGCACTTCTCTCTGCTCTCGGCCAGGCTCGCCCGGCTGGCCGGGTGGGGGTCTGCCCCAGAGCAGAAGCACCAGTATGGCGTTCCAGGTTATAAACAGGAACGTGCCACAAATAATGAGAGAGCCTTTCTTGCGGAGCATGGCCCAGAAACTCGGAGGGTGGAGTAGGAGGACGGGGTCCGAGTAGAACGATGGCGTCCTTGTTACAGACAATAGGAATGGGAAATGGCGAGGGCAGCTCGTGTATCATCACAAGCACATAATCAGAGATCTGGAGCAATACTTTGTTGGCTCACTGCGAAGTCACCGAAGTTATAATGACACAAAACAGTGTCGATGAGGGCGAAGATGGACGCAATATGACGAAGGACAGGAGTCATCTTTGGAGTAAAGTTGCGATTCTGACAGATCCCCAACTTTCAATATCCTCTTCCTTCTGAAATAAATAAGAACACAATGTACTTTTAGAAAAAAAACAAAAAGGTTGCAATAAAAGTGACAACAAAGTGGCAACATTGTTTAAAATTTTTTTTTTTTTTTAAAGAGTTTGAAAGCAGGAAATCAGTTTATGCAAATATCTATTTCGTTAGAAGTTGCTTCATGTGACCCGGAGTGATGAATCACCATACTGTCTCTGATCGATTTTCTCTTATCACCTGTGGCTGCCTCGCTAAATACGCCAAACCGTTTGTTATGAAGACTGAAAAACAACCACAAATAGATTTTTTGTTTAGCTCGCTGTCCTCTCAGGTGATCGGCAGACAGGTTAGACCCGACAGACTGTAAGTACTGTAGCTTGAGGAGGAGCGTGCTGAAATTAGCCCTCACCTCTTTGAGCGTGTCTTCTTCTTCTGCACAGTTCTTCGGTGACAAGGTGAACGACCGGAGCCGAGAGGACGGTTCGGAGCCCGGTGTGAAACGGTCCCCCTGCTAGTTTCTCGGCTACGAAACCAACTTTGCACCCCTTTGGTTTCTCTAGTTTCTCACAAGCCTGGAAGAGGAGGAGGAGGAGGAGGAGGAAAAGTAACACGACGACTTCCTGGGTAGCGAGCAGTTACGGGAAGTCCCGCCCTAACTGTCACCTTGAGTGAGAAATTACGTAACACTTTGACGTAGGCGCGGCTCTCTGCAGAGCTAATTAGTAAACAGCAGCGTCTGATGTCTTTGTAAACATGTATTAAGGGGGAATAAGGGGGAAAAGGGCAATTTTTTGTTCAATGGAGAAATATTTATTTTCTTCTACCTGATAACAAGCAAAAAAACCAGAATATGACAGTTAAAAAAACACCCTACAGATAGTTTAGAAAAATTATATATATATATATTGATACATATATATATATAATTTTGAAAAAAAAAACTATCTGAGTGTTTTTTTAACTGTTATATTCTGCTTTTTTGCTTGAAAAATTATATATATATATATTTATGTCTGGTGTTGGTGAAAAGTAACTTAGTAACTTTGTTCAATCAACTACAACATTAAAAGTTTTATTACACGTTTATTCAGTAATACAAATCCAGTCCTCAGAAGTGGAAGAAGTATTAGGACCCCAAGTAAAAGTACTGAGGTGAAGAATACTGATTTTCTTTTCTACAAAGAGCAATTATAACAATGTGTCATATTTCATATACTGATCTTATTTATTAAAGTGACTATCTGTCAAATAAATAGGCTTGTAGAGTAAAAAGTACAATATGTAAAAATATAAAGGAGCATACAATTTAAATACTCAAGTATAGTGCCACCAAACTGTACTGTTTAGCACAGTACTTGAATGTTAAATGTACTTGCATTCCACCGCTGCTAATAAAATAATATTTAATATCATAAAAATATCATGACAGGCAGATAATGAGTCCTTAGAAGATTTTGAATGCAACACATTTTTTCATTGTTGTACTACTACTTATATGTAAAAGATCTGAATACTTATACCCTGCTTATAAGTTCCATAAGTGGAAAGAAAACGAGTTAATCTTTCAGTAATTCCTCCACATTTATACATGTTTTACTTAGACTGGATTTTAATATGTATGTCTTGTAAGATGTTTTACTTTCACTCCATTCCATGTTTGTAAAATAAGTTTTTGTGCAAATCGTACATGCTTAACAATAAATGTAGGCCACTGCCATTACTTTAATTGTCCACCAGGAGACCTATACTACTTTAAGTAAAATGTACAATGCATGTGTTTCATGTTTCTCAGGTATTTATTGTTCCAGTATTGCTTACTTTCCCTCAAAGACAGAGAAATGCTCTAAAACAACCTGTTGTTTTCTCAGTTCACTGGGTTGAAGTCCAAATGTGCCTTGTGCATTGTGAAAGCCCTGTAAAAGTCAGTAAATAAGGATAGATCACAGTGTGTATGTCTGGTGCTGCGGCCTTGGACTCTCAGTCAGGTCTGTCCTCCGGGATCATTTGTCCAGAGTCTGAGTTTTCCTTGGAGCAAGTGAGGTCAATGGGATTGTGGGTTTGTCCATTTGCCTGAAAGATGACGTGTAAAAAAAAAATCATGTCATGTGGTCTATAGTAACACAGATCTCATTTTAAAGGTACCACATTAAGTCTCATCACGCTCACCTGCAGGGCTTTGTCTCTGGTGGTCTGATGCTGTAGAGCGTCACGAGGGCTGCTGCTGCTGGACCTCCACAACACCGCCAGCTTCAAACACATACATTCTGACACCAGAGCAGCCAAAGACAAGCAGGTGCTCTTCGCCGTTAACCAGCCAGTAAACACGATAGACGGTATTTGTCCTGCACTTTCTAGCAAACATGGGGACGTTATGGACACTTTCAAAACTGTGAATTCACCGGTGTTCTCACTAAATACCATTTTCCAGATAGCATATGTCTCGTATTTAATATTTTGTTTAATTTGAGAGCATTTCTCTATTCGAGGCAGGCTAGATGTCGGTCTGCGTGTCAGCTGACGTGCCAGCGCGTTTTGGACACCGTGCACAGCTGAGTGCGGGTCCAATGCGGATTGCGAAAGTTTTGGGTGAGATAATTTATTAGTTTCCCTAGAATCTTTTTCTCCAGACGTTTTGCCATCCACCCTCGGCGACTTATACGCCACAGTCAGCCTTCTTCCCACCAGAACACGGTCTCCTTGCAGAAAAGCCTCCCACGCTAACGCCTGGTTTGACCGGGTGCGCTCAGCTGGCGAGCCGCCGGTCAGCGCGAGGCTGTAGGCCGAGGTGGAGGGCCGCTTGGTCGGCGGATTCCTGGTCAAGATATTCCCCCGACACCGTAGAACAGCCGTCAAGGCAGAGGCGGAGGGAGTGGAAGCCATGGTGGTCGATAATATCCACAACAGACTTCTGTTTCAGGACTGTCTGCTTTAAGTGTTCTAAAGTTCCACCTCTATCCAAGCGGTCACATAACGTATAGGCCTAAAGGTAAATTTGCGTAAGGAGTGGATTAAAGGAGGGGTGGGGGGGATCCTTTCTGCTCTAATGCACCCGACCATATTTGCCTCGATAGTCCGGGAAGGGGGCTCAGGTGGGTGTGTCTTTAAGCAATGGTGGGGAAAGCACTCAGTAAAAGTCCTGCATGTGGAGAAGTATCAGCAAAAGGTGCAATACAACCTATTTTCTAGACTGATCACAGTGGTGGATTGTAATTACATGAACTCAAGTAGGCTTTACTGTGTTCCGAGATACTTGTAGGTAGTATTTCAATTTCTCCATATACATTGTACCTCTACTCCACTATATTTCAGAAGAAAACGTGTACTTTTTCCCCTTCACATTTACTTTTCACATTTTACATTTGGTACCTTTTGTGGCTTGTAACCCACAATACAAAAATAGCAACGGTGGCATGTCATGTTTCATGTCTATTATGTTACTTAGTAGTTCCACATAAATTGGTTTCATTTTGGCAACAAAAAGAATAAAATATAATACAAATACAACACAACTTTATCGAGCATCATTTTCATTTTTAGAACACAAATCATTTCACAACCTTGTTTTGTACATAAGGTTAAAACAAGCTGCAGCTTGACAAGCTACAACAAAACACGCTGCTTATTCAGTGATGCTTCAATGTTAATAATAAAAGGATGGTAATAGCTCAGTCACACAGGCCATTTTTTCTGCAGAATGAGTACTTTTGATACTATTACAAATGCAGGATTTCTAATTGTCATGGAGTATATTTTACATTAATGTACATTACTGATAGATGATCTGAACACTTCTTGGCTGATCATCATCCTCAGCTTTTTATGTAAAGTCTTAATCTGCAAAGTAACCATCAGATAAATGGAGTGGCATAAAATGTGTCGTCATTTTTTTATTGGTTTTAAATACTAAATACTGCATCACTATCCAACATTTATCCTGTTATTTTTAACTTGGCTTTAAGTTTAAAGGTGGCTACTGAACACTCAGATGTAGCACATAAGATAAAAGGCTGCATGAAAGTATTAACATATGACTGAACTTATTTTCTCTTCTGTTATTCCTGCAGTTTGTCGAGGTCTTTCATGATTTACCCTCCCACATGTTTTGGCCATCCCACACCAAAGAGTTGGATGGCATATTAGCCTAATTTGCTCACTGTCAATACTGCAAACCGCCGGCCTTTAGTAGCTCAGTAAAATGCTATGAACGTATGCTGTCAGACAGGTTTGTCAGGCAAACAACAGAGAGGAGCGGCTGGGTAAAAATTCAGAATTCAAGCCCCCCTGTTCACCAGTTTATTTACACCACCAGTGGCTATCAGGTGTCTAAAGAACACATGCAGGTTCCCTGAAAGGCATTTTGCAAAAAAAAATCTGTTTTCACTAAATATAGGACAAGTGTCAGGAGAATGGACAGGAAGTCCCCACTGTCTTTTTATCATGTGTTTTGGAAATACGGAGCAATGACCTTTCAAAATCTAGAAAAATATTTTATTTAATGATACAATGGGAAGTAAAAAAAACGTTGTTATGAGTGAAAAGAGAAAATACGTAAATACAAATACAGAAATCATCTTTGGCCATGTACAAGGAGTTGGTCTATAGAAACCCTGAACTGATTATGGAAATCAGCCTGATGCACTCAAAAGACACACAAGTCCTTTCATCACAGAGTTTAGTGCATTTCATCATTAATCATTGTGGACAGTTCCTTTACACGTATACAGTATGTCTGGCTTTCACAGTAACGACAAACATGTTCAGGAAAGAGCAAAAAAACAACAACAAACAACCATACAGGTTTGCTGTAGTTTATTGCCCATATGTGCAACATCGAGCCTGTGTGTCCTCTGTCTAAAGAATGTTGCTAGCTTAGCCTTTCCTTCACCAAGAGCACACAAGGCGGCAAAAGGATCACTGAAAACCACTACAACTTTTGTGTGATATCTCTACAGCCTGTCCTCCCCCTTTCCGGTTTCTAGCCCCCGGAGTCTGGGGGACGGTGTGACGTTTGGTTCCCCACATGACCAGGCCTGTACAAATTCGGCACGATCACAAAGGCCAGAATCCCCACCAGCATGAGCGCCACAGTGATGGTGATGATCGTCGCCACCCCGGCGTAGTAGCACTGGTCTGAGCGGAACAGCCTGCGCAGGCGACCTCTGACCCTGCTCGGAGGCCTGCCTACGTCCACCACAGTGGTTGGGGCTACTCCCTGCTGCAGTGCACTCAAGTGGAGGTCACCCCCTGCTGTCACCGGAGCATCCTGGCTCTTTTTAGGCAGGATGAGAGACTTTGTCGGGCCAGTGGGAGGGGGGTTCTTCAGGAGCAGTTTGCCCTTGCTGCGCTTGAATCGGATGGACAGCGCCCTCTGCATGTCTGGTGGGAGCTTGCCTATGATGTCCTGGTTGTTGCCCAGGCGGGGCAGGTCCCGGCCGTGGGGGAGCACGGTCATCTCGCGACACACCGGGCAGCACAGCGTCTTGAGCTCAGGAGAGGTCACGTTGATGCGAGCGAGGCACTCCAGGCAGAAGGTGTGACCGCACGCCAGCAGCTTTGGGGTCCTGAAGATGTTATCGTAGGTGCAGAAACACACAGCGCACTCGGTGTCCTCCACATCATCCTCAGGGGGCTTCACCTTCCTCCTGGCGCTCTCTCCCTCTTTCCTGTTCCGTCCCCGGGCCTCCTCACTCCTCCCCCGCTGCCTCCTCTCTCGTTCTCTCCCCCTGCCCCTTTCCGCCCTCTCCGAGTTGGTGCTCCTCGATCTCCTCACTTTCGCAGGCTTCTCCTTCTTCGACATGTCCTCCTTGCTGTTCCTCTCTTTCTGGCTGAGCTTGGGTTTGACATTGGGGGCCTGTCTGGCTCCGTCGCCATCAGGCCTGCGTCCCTCTCTGTCATCGCTCATGTTGGTGGGATGATGTTAGAGGTAGACTGGAATCAGATTCACGGTTCCCCAACAGGAGCTGAGGAAGAATAAAGCTTTGATAAGTTTATTGGCTCACAGAAACCAGCAGAGCAGGAAACAGACTGCAGGAATGTACCTGCACAGCCTGCATTGCTGTTTCACGATGATGAAGCAATAAATGCCTTATCTCTTGCTGTCCAACATCTCTATTGTATTAAAATGCTGTCTGTTGATTTTATTTTATCTATTCAACATGCATGTGGTGCTTTTGCCTTGATAATGTGTGGCTGTATTTGTTTAATAGGCTTTCCTACACAGAATCATCAGCAAACACGGGAACTGCCGAACTGGAAGTTCTTCACGTGAGTAAATATATCCTGTGGTCTTAGTGGGTTGAAACTTGTGAATTAAAACTACTCCAAAGATGACACTAGTGGGTCACAGTTTCATTGTTTTGAAATGTCATAGCAAACCATCCATCATACCCATATAACTCACAAAGTCAGTCATTAACTCAAACGTTTTTACCCGGCAGGAGGCACACAGTCAACATTTTAGCAGCTGATTTCCTTCAAATTGTGGAAAATGCATTTTGACATTTGCAACAAGTTCAAGTTTAGTTGTAAGTTTCTGTTTATTAAAGATTTAGGGGCTTTAAAATAAGTTTGCTGACAAAGAGAAAACTTTTTTTTTTGACAAAGAACAGGAAAGTAAATTATTAGACTTGTACATACACACACACACACACACTGACCTGCTGAGGTAGATAAATATCGGATCACGTCGTCAAGAGATTACCTCACAAGTAGAATAATCCTTTTGTGTACCAGTGCAGTGGAAACATGCACCAAACTTCATTACGGAAAGAAAGGCAGCTTAAAGCTTCACGCTGGAAGTCTTTAGGTCGCTCTGCAGTTCTCGTCTCTTTCCTCTCATATCTTGTTTTCTAATTGTAACACAGCACTGCCTCCTCTGAACCCTCCTCCTCCTCCCCTTTTCTCTTCTCTGGTCAGACCAGTTGGACCTGCTCAGGTGAGCCAGGTATTTTTTTGTTATTGTGTCTGTGTGTTGCATTTGTAGAAAATCAGGTATCTGATGTGTGTCCACACGTAGCAGAATACACATCATTAGAGGCAGCTCTGTGTAACTACAGCTGCATGCTCTTATTGGTTGATTACATTTGAGAATCAAACTCGTATAGCTGTTTGTCAGATATTAGTGGCGTGGAGCGTCACATGATAGAGAAGCACATAAGAGTTTTACTCTATGCGACTTTGTGCGATATGAATCAAGAACAGCAGCAGTGACTGTTGGGGAAATTCCACTGTCGCTGCATTCACCAGTGCCATCAACACTACAGGTACGAGCGCCTCATACCTGTCATAGCTGCACTGCTCTCTTCACACTTTGTGGGTTTACCTCCCAAACAAGACCAGCAGCGTAAGTTTAGCCTGTCATCACAGCACAGTCCCAGTTCCACCCTTTCCATCAAAACCAGACTTAATTGAATGCATGTTAGGGCCAGAACTGATTTACATATTAACAGCATAAGAAGTTGTTTGCTTTGTCAAACAGCTCATATTTTGCATTGGCTTACAAGTTGACAATTAGCAAAAAAAAAAAAAGTTTTTGGTTGTTTTTTAAATAGTTAAAAATGAGTTAAAGAGGTCACATCTGTATCTTTGGATGCTTTGATATTCATTTTGTAAAACTTCTCTCAAAAGCACACAGTCCTTTTGTTGCAAACCAGCATGACAAGAGGACGACAGGAGCCTCTTCAAATGCTGCGCCTAAATACAAGCTAAACATCTGTAGTAAACTTCCTGGTGTAATTACAACAACAAAGAAACCCGAGTTGAAAGGTAGTAAATAATAAGACCAGGTCAAACCAGCAAACCAGGTCACAAAAAGTGGTTGTAAAAAGTTTATTGCTGTAGAAAAAAAAAATGACAATAAACACGTTACAGAGCCTCACACAAGAGTGAAACTCCTTATTTAGAAATTAGTCTTTTCAGCTTCCCCGGTAATTTGCACACTTTAACAGTGTGCTGGTTTCACAAATACACAATTGGACTCAACAAAGAGCTTGGTGGCCGTTGAAAAGCACCTGGAAAACAAAGCTACCGTCTCGTTCTTCAATGAGCTGTGGGACCCACCCAGAGAGTCTGCGCCGCTGCAGTCTCAGATCAGGAAACTCAGATCCAAGTGCATTCATGTTTCCTTGTTGTGGCCCAGCTGACACAGCCGGTTTATGATTAACCCAGTGAGTGACTTTGTCACCCACTTCCCGCTGGACCCGTCCCTCTGCTCCACATGGCCAAAATGTGGTCCAAAATGCCATCTCAAGCTACAACTGAAGACAAATGTAGCTGCAACCACAATTCCACACTTTTCTTCTTTATTTTTATAAAAATCTAAGTCATTGTATTTACTTTTACCCTGCCCTGAGAAGGGCAAGGAGTGTGCCCCCTGCACTGTTTTTCTTCACCATCTGTCCCCCCTGCCTCGGCCCTCTCTTTAGCCCAGCTCCTCCTTAGCTTTGCCCTGCTTGCGGGGCATCTTCTTGCTGCTGCTGTCCTCCAGCTCTTTGCTCTTGTAGTAGTGAGGAGCCACTTCAAGCAGCCAGCCACTGTCTATCTCAATCACCTGTGTGCAGAGGGAGAGGGATAGAGAGAGATTAATCGATGTGTGGAGATATAAAGAGAGTTAAATATTGTCCAGGAACACTTCCTCTTTAATGTGCTGTGTCATACCCACAACACACTATTCTGTGGAAGCTTTCTGTGTCACCATGTTATTTACATTTTAAACAACAGCTCTTTCTGTGTTTCATGTTTGTCTTCCACATCAGCCGACAACCTTATGAAAAGCAGACTGCTACCTATCATCTCCAAACTCTGCAAATATTTGTGGGAGATTTTTGGCGAGTATTTAAAAGCAAAGAGTACGACGTCAGACCTGTCTCATGAACTCCTTGGTGGTGAAGACCAGCTCGTGGTAGATGATCCAGCGCGGCTGCTCCTCGAACAGACAGCTGTTGGGGTGCACGTAGACCGTCTGCTGGTGCTTCACCGTCTTGTAGCCGCCTTTGCTCAGTCGCGCCGTGTGGTAGAAATATCCCGCCGTCACCGCCTGGGAGAGGGACAAGAGAGGGGTTTATTAAAATAGATCGTAAAGTCAGGGGCTGAGTTTTGAGGTATAACTTGTTGAACAATCAAAGAGGAATCGCACAAAGGATAACATGCTGTGACGTTCTTGTTGTCAGTCTATTAAGTACCGCATATTGTCGCTGTCCTGTGAAAACCATGTCTCTCAAGAGCAAAGAAAAAAAGCATTTTCAGCTTTGTAACAACGCATTTGTTTTCAAACTAAGCCATTGGGTTTTTAATACATTGCTTGAGAAGTAGGAGGATTTTCTCCACACAAAAAAGCTACATGGTTTTCATTGGACAGCAACAATAGTATTCTTATCTGACTTCAGTCGGTGCTTTCACTTAACGGGTTTGGCAAGTAAATGCTGAATCACTCAAACGTGTCGTAAAATGATTGGAATTCCCTTCTTCATTCTGGATGCTAGAGGCACATTCAAGAAACTTCAGCACGTCAGCCCCATGCTTACAACAAGGAACACACACAATGCTACTAAAGCCACTTTATGGATAAAACTCAAAGACTAATAAATGTTTAAAGTCTCATAAAAGAAAGAAATATTAACAACAATACCCTTTTTTTCCCCTTAGATATTAGCTCTATATTTGTTTAATTATGTATTAACCTTTATTTTAATACAACAAATAAGTTACAGGATTGCTTTTGCCTATTTGTCTGCAGGACATTCGACACAGGCAAAGGCAGCATGTGATGAAAGAAGGTGTAACCCGACTATTAAAACAAACGCCCTTTCTTATCTCAAGTGGTTTAGGGGTGCGTTCATAACACACAGACCCTGATATGAGAAGGCTGATCACACAGCCTCTGTTCGCTGACTGTTCATTGTACTTTTAATTTGAAGAACGAGATAATTTTTTAAAAATCTCAGTATCTTTTTCTGTTTGTTTGTTCCGTTTGTCTCTGCCTTGTAAAGCGCTATAGAAAATTGATATATTATTATTATTATTATCTTGATAAAACTCTCTTGTGCCAGGAAGCATCCACCCGCTTAGTGTTGTTGAGCAAAAACTCGCTGTATCCGAGGGTGACCTTTCACCTCCTTATGGAGACATACAGGATTAAATTCAACTTGAGGGTACAACAGGATATTCCAAAGTATGACCATGCTGACGGTTAAAGCTAACGCAAACAGCTTGCGGTCTTCCGTGCATTATTAGTCGGGTCCCTCACTGGGTCAGGTTTCAAACTCTTGTCACTCATTGAGCCATGTGTTAAAGCCTGAGGTGGAGTCAACAACAAAAAAAGGAGCAAATATTGACAAGCACTGTTCGAGGCACCATCTTCACCATGTTTTTGAGTCGCTCTTGCGTGCCACAGGTTGAACTCTTCAGTGCTTTTATATCCGCTTTTCACCATTGTCATAGTTACAGCTTCCTCCCTTTGACAGTTACAGCCCAACTCACTTCTGCCTGCATAACATTCAATCTGACGTGATCAAACCAACGCAGCCACGTTCACAAGGACTCATCAATCAAGGTTCCCTGTTTTTGTCAGGGAGCTGTGGTAAAACTCAGAGGGCCTTTCTCCGTCTCACTGACCTTGCGAATGGGCAAGCTGTCTCCCTGTGAGCTCACCACCTCCACCTCAATGCGATCCATCAGACCCTCCAGCTGGTCCCTGACGTCCCGGGCTCTTCTCATGGAGCGGAACTGGATGAAGTTCTCGTAGCACCACTGCGTGGAGTAGCCGCTCTCCAACCACTGCGGGAGAAAGACACCATGAGCGGCTGTTAGCATAACACCTGCGCTCTGGACTAAGACAGTGGTTCCCACAAGGGGTTGCAGGATAAATCTGAAGGATCGAGAGATGTATAACTGGAGGCAAAGCAGAAAAACTTAGTTCTGCTACATAAAAAGTCGTGCATATTTTTCCTGTCTTTTCTCTCATCTCTGTTTCAGCCATGCTCAGGATGGCAGGTCAACCACTTTGGTCCAGACTGAAATATCTCAACAACTATTGGATGGATTGAGATTTTGTACACACATTCATGTTCCCCTGAGGATGAATCCTAATGACTTTGGTGATCCCGAGACTTTTCCTCTCGCGCCACCAGCAGGTTGAGAGTGAAATGTGCCGATAACTATTGGATGGATTGTCATGAAAGCCAAAAAGGTTTGATAACTGTAAACTGCAACAGTTGCTTTTAGACACAAATCATGAGCACTAACGCAATTCCTAGTGCTCAATAAATACCAACACTAACTAAGATTTATGTAGAGCTGAAAGAAAACCTCACTGACAGTTATGCATTATAAGCTTTATACAGACAGGATTTATTGCAGGTGGATTGGATCCCATTAGATTGGTAAGTGTTATTTAGCTCTAACTGCTGTTAGCAGCTGGTACCTGTGTGTAGACGTTGAGCAGCACCAGGTGGTCTCCTCCCGGCACCACAAAGTTCATTCTGGCATTGTCGGCGTGAACCACTTTGTCTTTGGGCCGGTAGAAAATAGAGTTGTTTACTGACAGCATGGCAGCTATCGTCAACACTTCCTCTGAACACTTGTACCTTAAAAGGGAAGGAAAATATAAAACAGAAGTATATAAACATGCACAGAGGAATAAAGAAAAGGCAGAGAAACAGTAATCCTCCACCCCTTACTTATACAATCTCCCTAAACGGCATCCACTCAATAAGTTGGGAATTTCTCTCAGGCCAAGAGTCAGCATTTTCTTTATGTACTAGTTTCCTTTTTATCATTCAACAAACATGTCACAAAGTTAACAATACAAAGGGCAGTAAAAAACTAAATCACACTAATGTCATTAATGCATGCAGCTCACACACACTGGACGAGTTCAACTTCCGTCTTCAAAAGCACTGAACTGTGTCAAAATAAAGAGGAAGTATACCAGGCCAAATCTGAGCTCATTGTCTATTTCACAATAAGTACGTAGCTTTGGTTTACTCCAGATCTCATGTCACATTTAACCTTATGAATCAATTCCTCCCTTAGAGATACATTATGAATATTCTCCTGCGTGAAAAATTGATCCTCAAACCCATATTTACAACAAATATAAGTCAGATTTTGCTCTTTATATCATTTAAATATTATTTTGACTTGTCTGTTATCGTTTATATACATCCTCATCTATAACCTGTCAACACAAACCTTATTGAAAAAGTGTGAGCACAAAGCCTGGAGGAGTTTGGTAGATGTAGGAAAACCAATGTCTGTAATTGATTGAATGCATCTTATACTTCATACAGGTCCTGTCAAATGAACATAGACTGAAGACTTTATCAGACTGGAGACTTACTGTTCAGAGGCCAGGACCATCTTGCTCAGCATGGGGTCCACCGGGAGCTCAGCCATCCTGCGACCCAGCTGAACCCCGACAAACAAGAGCAAACAGTTGAAGACATTTGACTCCAGTCATTCATTAAATAAACAATAACCGGCACTACGGTAGTCACCAATGATGCAATGTCAGACACACTCCCTGAAAAACATCCCCACATCCTTGATAATCACTGATGAACAAGACGAGAGTGGAAATAAAAGCTTGAAGTAGTGAGTGAGTCATCTCATGCATCAGCACTTTTCGACAAGGAAGCGACTCTTCAATGCTGCCAGGAAACAGCATCAGTAGCCTCGGGTATGTACAGAACCCCACGCAAACACACAGACGAACCATTGTGACGATGGACATGGATTATATGTGCCAAAGCAAAGAATATAGTATGTTTTCTGTGACGTTCAGAATGTAAAATATGTTTGTTCTCTTTGCTTATGATCCTGTTGATTTGACTGGATCAACAGGATGGAGTGGGGGGGAACAATTAACACGCTGCTTGTTGTAACTGGTTATTAGGACAATAATTGTGGGAACGTGAATGATTGTTGGAGGTCTATACCAGTTTTTTGTCTGGGGACCCACTTTTCAATCGTGACAAACCATTGCGGCCCAATTCACAATTCCACCCCTTTCCCATTGTTTTCACATTTCCATTTGCTACACAGTTATTATAAAGATGTCAGCTATAGCTGATAATGAGTGTAGGCCCTGGGTTTGTACCTTGGTGAGCTCTCCCAGGTGGTTGAGCGCTCCCAGGGCATAGAGCTGCTCCAGCGCTAACACCAGAGTCTCATGAGGAGGCGGGTCCATGAAGTCAAAGTGAATGAGGTCATTGATGCCTACAAGCAAAAAGTATTAGCTTATTAGACACCCACAGCCACCAAATAACACCACGCCATCATCTTATTAGTCATTATATGAGCCCCTCCGCTCCTCACCTAAACTCTTCAGCAGCAGGACTACATTCCCCAAGTTGGTCCTCTGAATCTCGGGCACCGTCGATTCCTCCATCTCGTGTTTAAAGGCCCAGGCTGTGTAAAGCCTGAAACATTTCCCAGCAGCCACTCTGCCTGCACGGCCTGCCCTCTGGTTGGCCGAAGCCTGAGAGAGGAACAGAAAAAAAAAAAAAACAGAAGGAGGTGACAAAACATTTAGAAACTAATACAGACAGGAAACGCAACACTTGGACTTAAGTCCTCATACACAATATCACAACTTGTAGCCTGAGAGAATGAAAACATGTGCGTTCACTACACGACACCTTCTCGCTGTAACAAGAACAGAGAGCAGTTACCCGTGAGCAGGGCGTAACGATGAGTGACTCCATGCCGGTGCGGGCGTTGTAGCTCTTCTGTTTGCAGAAGCCTGGGTCAATGACGTAGATGATGCCATCTATGGTCAGTGAGGTTTCTGCTATGTTGGTAGCCACCACCACCTTTGATTGACAGGGAGAGAACACACAGTGCCGCGAGATAAAGTGAGTAAGCGACGCTCAAACAAACCAGAAGGAAGATTAAATCCAGCTGTGTAACAACGGGAAGAAAGACGTGAGGAAAACATCAAGACAAGACTTTAATCTGTCTCCATACAAAATCAAGTTTTTGTACTACAGCGGCCTCTAGTGGTGAATAACAGCATTGACATTTAATCTGATTTATGACACAACCGATACAGAAAACAGATAGCAGAGAGCTATTGTCTTCATTTAGGTCTCAAAGAAACAAACTTGTTGTCAAAGTCTACTGAGCATTTTATCTGCCACGGTGAAATATTAATCCTGCAGTGACCTATCACATCCAGAGGAATCATTGTATTAGGAAACAATAACAGTCCCCCACGTATTCTGCACAGGAAGGGGACATCGTCTCACCTTACGGGCTCCCAGCGGAGTGGGGTTGAAGATCTTCGCCTGCATGTCCGACGGCAGGTTGGCGTAGATGGGAAGGACCAGCAGCTCTGCTATCTTAGAGCCGAGCCGCCTGCATCGCTCCTGGAGCAGCTCGCAGCACGTTTCGATCTCCTCCTACAAGAAGCACAAGAGGTTTAAGAGTCGACCAACACACAAAGAAAAATAAGAAGAATCTACCCTTCGGAGCAACATCCCTTCCTCCCACACTTGTAGATCTTTTCATTCTTTACCGACACCGATGTGTTTATGTTCTCTGGCGTCACAAAGAACTCATGAAGTAATAACTGATTATGAGCATTATTAGAGGAGACTTTACCTCATTTTATCTGCTAACATACATGTGTAAAAAACAATATGGCCTGCACCCTCACAATATTCTACAGATGTTGGTCCCCGAGGTAAGAACAGAAAAAACGAGGAAAAAAGGTTTTCTTTAAGCTACGCAATTGTGAGGGAAATTATTTTGTTCAAAATCAACATGCAGAAAATGCACCCAACATAAGGAGGAGGAGACCACCAATCTCCCATTATAACCAGGTCTAAAACTTTGAATCTCTTGCCCAGACTCTTGAAGAAGCCCATGCTCGATATATAAACTATACCTGTCCAGTGAGGAAGACCAGGACGTCTCCGATAGGCTGGGTGACGTGGATCTGTAGCACCGACACCACGCAGGCTTCCAGGTAGTCTGCCTCTGGAGCCTTGAGAACACAACATAGAGATCAACAGGACAGTTTGGTTTTTGGGAGCAGTCATTGTCTGGACTCATTTGACCAACTGACTGAGAAACATTTGGTCTTTATTTCTCTTCAAAATATACAAATGTGTATAAATGAGTGAGAAAACAAAAGAAATTGTTTAGGAATAATGTTTTAGCCAGGAAAAAAAGAAGGCTATTTTTCATTCAGTGTTTTTATATCCCCATTTATTTTCCATCTAACAGCAATTAATCACCAAATATTTAAAAAGAAATGAAATAACTACGATATTAAGCATTGAAAGAATATGCTAGTTCCTACTTTAGTGTAGAAGATATCGACGGGGAACCTCCTGCCGGGGATCCTAAAGACGGGCGCGTCGTCAAAGAAGCGGGAGAAGCGCTCAGTGTCCAGAGTGGCGCTGGCCACCAGCACCTTCAGGTCTGACCTGAACCTGGCGATGTCCTTAATCAGACCAAACAGGATGTCTGTGTGCAGCGTTCGCTCATGGGCTTCATCTATGAGGACCACACTTTGGGGAAAAGAGAGAGAGAGAGAGAGAAAGAGAGAAAGAGAGAGAGAGAGAGAGAGAGAGAGAGAGAGAGAGAGAGAGAGAGATTGTGAGGAGATGGCAGGATTGAGCACGACCCGTACAGTGATACCGACAGGTGTTCAATAAAACATGTATGGACATAATCACTAGGAATGTGAGAAACGACAGAGAGGAACTGTGGGAAGTTTATGGGCAGAAAAAGACGTGTCGAAATCAGGCAGTGGAAGGTTAGAGATAATAAAGTAAATACAGTGCCCGATGATTCAGCGACACTTGTCCCTAACTGAAAGTTGAATTTGCAACGTGTGATGAGTAATATTTTCTGAACATCGATGAACGATTCATTACCTGTAGCTGGCCAGGTCGGGCTCGGTGAGAAACTCTCGGAGCAGCATGCCGTCCGTCATGTACTTGAGCACTGTTCTTTCCGACGTGCAGTCCTCAAAACGAATACTGTAACCCACCTGCATGAAGCAGTGAAGGAAATGTGAAAACATTGATTCAGGAAACAGTCAACAATACTGTATTCATTGCTGTACAGATCTAACATTGCATCCGTTTGACCCATCTAGAATAAATATTAAACTATTATTGAAGTGTGTGACAGAGAAATGGGATCGGCGTGACTATGTTCCTAGCTCACCTCATTCCCGAGCTTGACGCTCATTTCCTGTGCCACTCTGGACGCCACTGACATGGCTGCCACTCTGCGAGGCTGTGTACATCCGATCTTCATGCCTCCGTTTGTGTAGCCCTGAGAGAGAAACAATAAGTTGATGGGTGGAATCATAACTGACTTTTTAATCTGTACTTTTCCTAATTAGTATGTAGTAATGCTGACTTGTAGTATTTCAGTGGACTGTAGTTATGTATGCTGGTCATCTATAATGCCAGTATATGTTGATGTTGTTATTGTTAGATTCTGCACTCACGTCTTCCAGGAGGTACTGAGGAATCTGAGTGGTCTTTCCGGAGCCCGTCTCCCCCTCAATGATGAGAATCTGGTGCTCGCTGATGGCAGCTAGCAGGTCCTCTCTGTAGGGGAAGATGGGCAGGCTGCGACGGACCTCCTGCATGGACTGTTTCTTCAGCTCTGCCTGGGACAGAGCCAGGGCCTCCTGATCCTGAACACAGCAGGGTCAGAAGAACGGGTTCACTTTGGACCGACATACCGAATTTTACCACTAGGTGTCGCCCTTGACTCAGCAACAGCTCCCGTGTGGACCACACTGAGACTGAGAGAACTAGAATGAGAGTGTAGGAACTCCTGCAGTGTTTACATGATAACGGAGCTGCCTTTGGTCCGGCACAATAGTGTAACACCACACACTTCCCACAATGCAACTCAAACGACTCAGACGGTACCAAATGAACCCCACCTGCTCCGTCCTAGTTCCCTTCATGGTCATGGCAGTGCTGACAAATTCGATCAGCTCCTCCTCCTCCAGGATCAGCTGGTACCTATCCTGCTCCTGCCTCATCCCTTGCTCTCGCTCCCTCTTGGCACCGAAGCTGAGGGAGGCCGTCTTCAGCCTCTCCTCCTCCCAGCGGCCTTGCTCTCCTCCCAGCTCCATGGGACTTTCCTCCAGCTCCAGGTCCCTCTGGGGCACCTCCTGGTCAGCGGGGAGAGGGAGGGAACGAGGTGAACAATGGAACCAATGCACACTTGAGTGAGTGACTGTTTCTGCACGTTGTGTCAGTATGTGATATCCCTCGTTCCTACCTTGTTTCTCTTCTCTTCTGGCATGTAGTATCTGTTCTTCCTCTCCTCATGTTCCTTGGCACCGGCCTTTTTGTAATCTTTAGCCAGGTCCCGCAGGGTGCGTTTGTAGTCCAACTCCTTTTGCTCCCTCTCTGTCAGCTCCTCTGTATGGAAAAGGTACTCGTCATCATTGATCTCTGCCTCCAGGTCCTCCATCTTCTCTGACTCTCTCTTCTTTAGATAATCCCAGTGAGAGCGCTTCCTCAACTCCGGCAACTACAGAAGGAAAGAAGACGACAAAGGATCAGAAACTTCAGTACACAGTTTGAACTCTGGTAACATCATATTCTAACTCCCAGGAGAGCAGCAATTAAGAAGTATTCACGTGATTGCGACAAAATACGAAGATGAAGTTGAAACTGGTCTACCATTTTCTTCTGGTCGTCTTCAGCCATCTTCAGCCTCTTCTGAGCTTCCTCATAAGCCTGGAGAGAAAAATAACACAACGAAGGTGTTTACCTTCATGGCAGTGTGGGTCATCTTTGAAAAAGATGCATGAGCTGTATTGTAATTCCCTCTTCTCCTACCTTTTTGTCCGTCCTCTCTGTTATGTTACGGGTCTTGTCTTTGTCTTTCAGCTTCACTCGCTCAGCAAACGCATCTCTCTCTTCGATGTCCTGCTGTCGCTCTCTCTCCTCCTTCTCCCACTCCTCCTCCTCTTCTTCTTCTTCTTCTTTCTTGAGAGAATTGGTGTCCCCTTGGCCTGAATTGCCCCTGATATTGGAAAAGAAAATGCATCAAACTGCGGCTTCTGTACAACATTTAGATTCGATTTAATTTTATGTTAGCTTAAAAGGTAAAATAAACAAGCAAAATAAAACTAGCATAAAATATCTGGATTACCTTATAGGTGCTTCGTCCTCACTAGACGACGCGCTCTCTTTCTTCTTTCTGATGTGCTTCCTCCTGTTTCCTCTGTCTTTGTCCTTTTTCTTCTTCCCTTTCTCCATTTCCTTCACAGCTTCTACATCACTGTCGCTGTCCTCCAGTAACGTGTAAGTCCGATTCCTCTTGTCCATTTCAATGGCTTCCCGTTCCATCGCCCGGGCAGGTTTCTCAACAACCTGCTTGCGAGGAATCTGTAACACGTGCAGCGGTAAAAGATTGTTAGAGGTTTAATTCACACCATAACGTGCCGTACTGAAAATGCAAGCAACTACCGTACTGTTTAATGATTTTAAAATTCATATTTATAAATAAATAAATAAAGAAATGACGATAGAATATACCTTGTCGAAGAGCTCTTGCGCGAACGCAACCACACTCGGTTCGATGTCAATCGTGCCCGTCTGCTCGAGACGATCCACAAAGTCTTGAGAACTCGAGGCTTTCCGCGCAGTGCCGATCATGAATTGAGACACATATCTGTCACTCAACCCGAGGATGTCATGGAGACGGTCATTCACCCACTGCTCTAGATTTGCCATGGTGCCTGATGAGGGAGCACAACACAAAAACATGGTTATCCACAATCCAGGTGAAGGTGTAAGAAGCTGCCGGCTACACCAATGCTACACCAAAGCCGGCAACCATAACCTGTTCTTAGTCCGAAATAAACAACCCAGCAAGGGTCTAATGCCCATACATTGCATTACTTAGACCGTATATAAATATATAATAGACTGAGTACACCAACAGTTGCACTCTTGCACTACATGTACCACAACAACCCTGTGCAAACAGTGTATAGTACCAGTCGGTGGTACTGGACTACATTATGTCCTTCCAATTTACATACAGGAGGTTGGTGGGATATTAGAAACACCTCCCATTACAATGCAGTCCAGTACAACACATCACTGACTAAATGCTAATAAATATAATTGAACCAACACCATCAGAAAACTTATTATAGGCATCATAAAAGTAGACGTTATGGCAGAATACTTTTACTCCAATACATGTATTTAATAACTTAAGTGTTTGTTTGTACAGGTTAATAATATATCATATAATCAACAAATAATATAGATAAAACGTCATTGAATTTCACAAGCGACCCAGTAAATAGCGTTAAATGAAAAATTAGCTCAACTGGTAGCAGCTGCAACATTAAAGTGCTGAACACACGAAAGCATCAAGATTATAATTAATAACATAATTATTCTGAAATGGACCATTTGGCTTGATGAGTAACGTTACTTTTAAGTACTTTAGGACTATTTATGTCAATGCTGAAGTAACTTACGCTGTTGTTGTGGTAGAAGCAGCAGGCTGTTAGCTAGCTAACTCCGCTAACTCCAGCTACAAAATAACCGTTAGCTTCACTTGTAGCTCACGAGCTTCCGGTCAGGACACTTAATCGATACATCCCTCCATCGCCATGTATAAATATATATTTGTAGATTTATTTTCCCAAATAAAACACAACATAAACACAATTATCAACACATGTTTTGCTAACTTAGCTCAACGCACGCTGATGTCGGAAGCGGAAATACGTCATGTAAAAATGTTGCGTCAACGGAGAAGCTCCCGCGCTTACTGCCCCCATGCGGTCGATTGAAAAACAACAACAGAGCGGTATTTGATCATTTTAAGGGTTGACACTAGTGAACAGGCAAAGTAATGAAAATATGTCACAATTAGTTTTTGCATTTTGTATTAGTTCATTGAAATTGTATATTTAAAATACAAATGAGGCTTTATCGTTTTGAATATGTGCCCACTGCCCAATATGTATACATTTATTATATGCTCTTATCTGGCACAGCACCGTTTTTTTTTTGTTAACCAGCAATGAAACATATTTGACACGAAGTGCATTGGAGGACTAAATAGCTGTCTTCATTTTTTTTGCCATGTATTGGAAAATGAGAAAAAAAACGTAACGTAATAATGGCGCGAATTACAGGAAGTAACTGTAAAGATTATTTGTGGTAGGGTTATTGTAAAGGCTAAACGTGCTAAAGTTATCAAGTACATTTTGTGCAGTAAAAAGTACAATATTTGCCTCAGAGTAGAGGAGTATAAGAAAATGTAAATACTAAAGTAAAGTAGGCTACAAGTACCTCAACATTGTACTTGAGTATTGTAGGGACCCCGTTGCTTTTAATAAAAAAGTCACCACGGTTGCTGATTGTTTGTTTAGACGCATGCCATAAAGTCCAGTTTCCAATATAGGCATTTCATTTCTCACACAAACAGAGGACAACCACTTTCTCTGTCATAATCCATTTCCTCTCCATAGACAAAATAAATCATAACATCTACATTCATTAAATGTCAAAAACAGTTTGCTCCTGCTTACTCAGCAACACGTCTCAAGTGACCCTGCATTCACTTGTGGACTAATTGACAGCGGCTCTGCTCCCACAGGTTGTACAAAACAAAACAATAACAAAATGGCTCTTACAATTGAGTAAATGTAGGCAAAAATGGTGCTGCAGATATTGGTAAACTGCAGCCTAATTGAAAATAATAATATCAATAATCATAATACTAATTATAGTAATACTAATTATAGTAATTACTACATAGTCATAATCATGTACTATTGTAAAAATATTTTACTTTGCTGTTATTATTATTATCTGTATTATTATTAGTATAGTAGTATAATAAAATGTTAATTGACTAAGTGATACTCATTTACATTTAGCTGGGTGAGTCGTTAGCACTAACTGAATATCGAAAGCGGATGTGACCTTAAACACCATTTATGAAAACACGACACACTAGTGATGAGGACGGAAGCGCGCGCATACTCTCCAAGTGTGCAAACAAAAGTTGAAAGAAATCGATAGGTACTCTTCAGTAGGCTACTCATCAGGACTGTTGAATTAAGACCTCATCATCCCCGAGGCGAAATCCTGTCTCCGGTCCTTCTCTCGATCCTCCAGTCTGCCCGGCGCAGAGACATGAACACTCCGCACATTTTCCGAGGATCACCGGTGCTGCTGCTGCTGCTGCTGTCAGGGGTTCGCATCGAGGGGTACCGGCCTGTCATCATCGTGCATGGCATTTTTGATGGACCAAAACAGTTTAAGACGATGTCTCTTTACATAACCAAGGTAGGACGTCTCAAAAGCTAGCGTGCAAATATGCAAACAGTGTTTAACTTTGGGATTTACTAAATGTGTTAATGTTGCAGCTGGTAGCCTAAGGGTGGGGCTGGGTAGGTTAAAGTAATGTATAATAATATATCATTTTGCATAAGTTGATTATATTGTGTATTAATAACCAGAATCTACAAAGTACAGGTGACCTAAGTTATCAAATAAATGTGGAGGAGAAATAGTATAATATTTGCCAGTGACAAAGTGGAGTAAAAAGTGGAGTAAAAGTATAAAACTCAAGTTGAGTACAAGTACCTCAAAACTGTCCTCGAGTAAATGTATTATTAACCATTGAGTATCTTGTTGTTTTTTCATGTCATACTCATCAGTGAGGATAAATATTGATCACTTGGACTGTCCGAGCGGTCAACTTCCCACTTAATCGCAAAGTTTTCATTAATTGAATTTATTTTGGAATTTAGATCTGCAATAGGTGAGAATATTCTAAAAGCAGTCAGATTTCAAGTGAAGTGAAAAACAGCAAGCGGTTTCAAGGTGATGGTTTCTGTTCCCCTGTCATTTTCTATTCCTCAGGATCCGTTTTATTTTGGAGGAGCTGAGTTGGCTGATAACATTATCAGTAATCACGCTCATAGTTTGCTGACAGTTGATTTAATCACTGTTTACTGTGTTTCTGTCTCTCAGTTCCTTTTTTAAATGTCATTCCCAGGTGCATCCAGGGACCGAGGTGTCGGTGATCGACTTGTATGACGACCTGGCCAGTCTGAGGCCATTATGGAAGCAGGTCCAAGACTTCAGCAAAGCCTTTGACTCCATCGTGCAAAAAGCTCCTAATGGCGTCCATCTGCTGTGCTTCTCTCAAGGTCCTCTCTCCCACTCACGTAGTACTCACACTGTGTGCACACTGACATTCTTTATGTAATAAGAAGTCTTTGAGTATTTATCTCGGGCCAATTAGGAATGCAAGAGCAGAGTTAAACACATTAAAAGTTATCACTAAAGCATTCAAAAGAAATAGGAGCTCATAAGAAAAAAGATACAATTATTTTTGTGACAGAAAACAACTCGAGTCAGCGGGTCAGATTGTGCTGAAGACTACGAGTTTGAAAATGAAAACAAAAATCTGAGGGTGTGGAGTTAGACAGAAGAGACCTCACTGCAGGCTAGAGGCTACATTAGCCGCTGCTACCACAACACACCTGAATGCCTGTGAATCGCTGACTCGACTATCGGCCGCCAAGTTGCCTTGTGGGTAATGTAGGCATCAGACTTTGAGTAGGACTAAGAATATGTGGAATAAAATGAGACAATATATCTGACATCATGAGTCTGGTAATGTAGGATTGTAACTGAGTCCTCTGTTTAGTTAACTGGAGTCTCTATATTACCAATAGTTGTGAATGGCTGTCAGTCTAAAAGGATACTTTTCAACCCCCAATCGCTCTTGATGGTTTAACTTACCCTCAATTACATAAATGGAGTGGACAAAATAATAAAAAACCTCTGTATAATGCAGTACAGGTCAACAGCACCCCAAACAGAACATTAAAACCTTCATGACGGTAGAAGTTGTTGCTGTACTGACTCCACTAGTTTGAGCCAGGTGAGCCTAATGAACTGAATGTTAGAGGCGACACTCAGTCTGTCATAGACACACTCTCACTGTGAAAAACTGTTAGTCAAACGTAGATGATTGACAACGTGTACATGCTGAGTGCAAGGACAACAGGAGAATGGGGACAGAGTGTCTGTTTCCTGAAGGTCAGTTTAACAAAATAACCACCATGAGTATACGTAGGAATATACAGTCCAAAATAAATACGTTGCAGAGGGAAAGGCTGTTGATTTCATGACCTTGACGGTCTTATTTGCCTTTCACTAGGTCTCTCCTGCTTATTATACAAACACACACACACACACACACGCACATGTTAAAGTTGGATATACCACAGGCCTTCAACTTTCACTTCCACATTTCAAGCATACCAAGATAATACCATTTTTAACCACCCAAGTTCACAGTTCAACGCTGCAGTTTACAGTATGTTCTTACATCATATGTTTCTATGTACTCTAAAGTAGAGTCAGAAAACATTTAACTTCTAACCTCAGGTCTAATATACAGCTGTGTACTTGTTTTCATTTTTCAAAATTTTCATTAGTGTATTTACAGTATATATATCATTCAAAAGACATCTCCTCCAATGGGCCCTATTCATTTAAAATCATACAAAATCTGATCTTTGGAAAAAACTGCTGGTCAAGTAAAAATAACAGTTGTTTCTTTCAACTTTTGGCTTTAAGGAGATTTTCACCCAAAAGTGCTGATATGTTTTACCAGCCATGCTATTGCTGGGATTTCTATACAGGTAGCAACACATGCAGTAGGAGGCACCCACTTTGTTACCAATGTCATATCTTCTTAACATACAAGATGCATCTCTACCGAGGGATTAAATGATCAAAGTATCACCGCATCAGATTTTATATTAAGTCCTGATTTGTCAGAACTGTCTTGATGTTGTGGCCTTTCCTTTCTAAGGTGGTCTAATTTGTCGAGCACTTCTCTCCGTGACTCCACACCACAACGTGCACACCTTCGTTTCGCTGTCATCACCACAGGCCGGGCAGTATGGAGGTCAGCGAGCTCTAGTTCACATTTTAAGCATGTGCATGTAGCCATTAATCCTCCAGGGAATTGTGACATTTCAGGAGTGTCAAGTTAATTCACTAGAAGTTTAAACAGTATTGATTTATAATAGATACTACATTTATAAATTCTGCCTCACTCCACAGATACAGACTACCTGTGGATATTTCCATGCTTAAAGAAGACAGTGTTTCGTATTTGCTACAACACAATGGGACATAATCTGTCGATCTGCGACTACTGGAATGGTGAGAATGATGATTTGAAAAGCAGAAAATAATCCATTTGAACTGCCTGTGGCATTGCATTCCCCCTCGAAAAGATACCACAACAAATTGATATATATTTATATATATTTATGTTTTCTGCACAGACCCTCACCATAGGTCCTGCTACCTGCGAAACAACAACTTTCTGCCGATTCTTAACGGCGAGAGACCTCACATCGACATGAAAGGTAAGGGAATGAATTAGTGTTGTGGCCGTTGTGTGCAGCATACTTGTGGATGTACAGTATAAAATGTGAAGTCATGCATGTCTCCATTTCCCCTCCTCAGCATGGAGGGAAAACTTCCTGCGCATCAAGAAGCTTGTGCTGATTGGAGGACCAGATGATGGCGTCATCACACCGTGGCAGTCCAGGTTTCATCAAAGTTTTATAATTCTAGCACACACTGTTGATTCTCTGTCATTTGAATGTGCCTGTGTCTTATACTACTATAACAAAAACTGGAAAAATATGCATGTGAGAAGGACACGTCCCACTCATCCACAGTGGAAATGACACCCTTGGTTTAGTGCCGGACAATGAAGTGGTTACTAACAAAGCCTTCAAAAAATGTTTGTGGCCAAAACTGCAGCAAAAGGCTTTGACACCACCTCACCTGAACTGACTGGTTCCTCCTTTCTAAACAGCCAGTTTGGATTCTATGACAGCAATGAAAAAATCGTTGAAATGAGGAAACAGGAGGTAAGTTGCAAACTAGTATACTGTTGTATCACTTCTGTATCGACTGGAAACCCAGTTTCATTTATACTTTAGGTCCTCTGTTGAACGGCCGACATCTCTCTCTCTCTCTCTCTCTCTCTCTCTCTCTCTCTCTCTCTCTC